CAGTGCTCCAGAGCTCCTCATGGAGTTGGGTTGAACTCTCCAGCTGAGATCACCGCCACACTTAACTTTTCTCACTCACCCCCACATTCTGCTTTTTTCACTGCCCCTCCCTTTCTCTTGAGAGCACTGTTTTAAAAAAAATCATCACACAAGGATGCCAGCTTCAGTCTCCATTTTTGGAAACCCCGCATCTTCCATCCCTCAGGAAGTTGGTCCTGTGAAGCAGACTGTAAGGATGGTGGGATTCTGAAGATGGATCACTGGGTGGCAGGATGGCAGAACCCACCCCATTGCTAGTTACTGGAGCATTGCTAGTCACTGCTAGGCTGTGGCACATAACCTTTGTCAAACCAGGGAATGCTGCAAGTGAAAGTGAGACAGGTGGGTTCTTGTGGAGAGACTAAGTGAAGATAAGTAGATGGAGATTCGGATTAATAAGCATGAACAGCCATGCCTGTCCTTTTATTAGATGAACAACACCTTCAGCATATGCTTGTACCAGATCAACTGGAACAAAAACACAATTAATTTAAATGTCACCAGATTCCAAGACTTATACCCACATGTGATTTATGACTAGACTATTCGACTAAAGAGAAACATTCTAAACCCCAGATATAGAATGATTGTCATGGGACTTGATTTAAAAAGAAGTTTGCCTGAGAACCTGCACATTTTTCCCCTGGAAAAATCATATATATGATTAGAAATTTCAACCCTGAGCATATCACTGTCTTCTTCTCTCTGAGAAGTGAGGGACACCCATACACTACTTTTGGGTGTATAAACCTTGCTGTCCTTAAATAAATCTTTGCTTGTGCCTTGCCTCTGACACATCCTGAAATTCTCAAGAACCCACCCTGGCTGAGTGGGTTCTCCTCTGGATTTCCTTCTAGAAACAAAATGGGGTGCCCTCGCTGGTATAGTCTTTGGTGACTGAGAGGTTTGGAGAAATTGCCTGCTGTAAGGTCTGTGGAGATAAGTGGCTATTGCTAAGTAAGCAACACAGGAGGGTCCAAAGGGCTCTTGAGCAGCATTTAAAGAGAGTCTCTGTTAAGTTCTGTAAACAAGTCTGGATGGCGCCTGGCATTTTGCCAGAGGGAGTGGTTTGTGAAGAGGGAGTGGTTTGTGAAGTAACACCAGTGAGCCATTAAATGTGGAGATTCCTTATTGGTTGACTGCTGTATAGAGTTTATGTTAATTAGATAAGCTGTGTGGAATGTATAAATACCTCTGTTGTACTACAATAAATGGCTCCTACTCCTGCTGTATCAATGTACACAAGTTGTTCGTCACTCCCCGGTTATTTTGCTGCAGCCGGACTGCGGCAAGTCTCATCACTTGCAGTCAGCTGACAACTAGGAAAAGGTCTTAGCTAGAAGAGAGGCAGAATTTCAGAGCAGGCTGACTATTGATGTCAAAGTTAAGACCTTGACAGGGAAGGAGGAGAATCTTGAGACAGGTTGGGCTATCAGGATAGACTTGAGAACCTTGAACCCTCAGATCCAAGAGGGCCTCTCTGTTGGAAGACAGAGAGCACCCTTACATGGAAAGTACATAGGGGCCTATTGTGAGCCAAATCTCATCTCTACCTAACTGGGAGATTTCTGTGACTATTAAGGGAGCAAAAGGATTGTCAGCCAGAGACACTATAGGACCTTGCTTACAGCTGAGGGGTGATGCCTGGGTGTGCATCCTGAGGGTGTTGGATTAAGGAGGAGCTGAATATAAAGAGGTTTAGGGAAATTTAACCAGTCAGAGGCACACTTCCATGGCATAGTACTTAATACATGACGAGAGCTCTGAGAGCCAATTCTAACATGCTTCTGGGATGGTTCTGAGAAGCTGGGCAGAACAAATGGCCACATATATAGAGATGTCAAACTCTCCTGATAGAATGTGGATGTAGGGATTAAAAAAATTAGAGAAGTAAGCATGCTAATATATTAACTAAGCATGCTAACCAAATAAGACTAGAAGATGTTCTTGTATGCTACTCAGAAGGGCTCTGATAGACATCACTGTTTCTCAGATGCAAATAAAGTCTCTGCCAAGGAACCAGCACCCTTGAGAAGCTTGTTGGTGTTTGTCCTCTGTAGGCCAGAACTGAGGGTAGAAGATGCTCTTATAGAACAGGAACCCTTGGTAGATGCAGGGATGACAGGATCCCAGAATATTAGAGATAACTGTGAGACCAACAGACAACCTAATTACCATAATGGATAGCAATGTCAAAGTGGCAGCCAGGGGGCCTGACCTGACCTTATGGGAATGACTGATAGAATGTGGTATTTCTAGGGACAAGATATATGGGCAGATAGAAAGGGTATTGCTTAATATACAATCTAAAGAGGTCAAGGAATGAGTAGCAGGCTGAGGTCAGACATCACTTCAATGGAAAATCATAATCCATTATCCAATTTTAAAACCTGAGCCTGTTCTCAGATGGACAATACACAGACTGAAGGAGAAACTGGTATCCATGAGAAAGATCCCAGAATATCATAGCAAGTACACACAAATTTCTTCAGTCCTTCTCCTAAGCAATTTATGGTTATTTCTTTGGAAAATCATAAGAAAGAGCAATATCCTGATCTTTTGAGAGATTTTGGATATATAAGGTGATGGGGTTATTCAGGGGTCCTAAGAAGCATCCTACTTCCTCCCCATTTCTTAAACTGTTCCTTCCCCTATTCCCAATTAGAGTACGGTGATATTGGATCCAGACAATAAATGGAATCTTCACCCAGGTCTGTCTCAGTGGATCTACAGGGTCTTGTTATCAACCTACTGGTCATTTCTCCAGTTCCTGAATGTATAATTGGAATGGAATACTTAGCTGTTGACAGAACCCTTATATTAGTCCTTAACTTGTAGGGTAAGAGCTATTTTATTAGAAAAGGCCAAGTGGAAGTCCCTATAACCACCTTCCCTTCTCACCAGCTCCTAATTAAGACAGTAAACAAAAACAATATCACATGCAGGGGAAACTAATATTCACCTGGGACATACAACATTCTACTTTTATAGCCTTGCTGCAGGGCTATGTTCTTTTTCCTGTTTTCTGTCATAATATATTCTGAAGATACCTGGACCATCTGCCATCACATTGTTCTACCATATTGAAATCTCATGCTGGTCAGATTTGATGAACAAAAAATGCAAGTACTCTGGGTGCCCTGATGAGACATATTTCAGACGGTAGGTACACCTCACAAAATTTAAGAGTTTGCTACATGGATGACATGTTTTAACTAACAATTATTGTTTTTAAAAAACTGAAACAAATTTAGACTTAGGAGAGACACAGAAGGATTCCAGAGATTTTTTTTTGGTGTACATTTTATCCCTGTTAACATTTTATATAAGCATAGAATACACATCAAAACAAAATCATCTTGGTATAATGCTATTATCTAAAGTACAAGACCTTATTTGGGTGGTAAAGTGGACAGTAGTCTAGGGCATGTCAGGACATTTTCTACAAAAATATCAAGTTACTGCACCTTATACCTCTAACCACTAAGAACGAAGCATAATACTTGGGAGATGTCTTCAGGTTTAAGAGTAAGCATATTTTGAGCTTGGCAATACTGTTCCTACTCACTTAGCTGTTGATATGCCCAGTGGCTAGTTTTGAGTAGGTCTCAGATCAAGAAAGAGCTCAGTAGCACTGCCTCTTCAGCCATGTTGTTTGCCACACCTCGCCTAGCACATCTCACCAGCTCAGAGGTATCTGCAGTAGAGGAGAGGCTAAGTGGAAGATCTGGCAAGTGCTAGGAAGGGCCATAAAACAAGAACAAACAAAAACAAACAAACAGAAGAGTCCAAGTGCAGCCCTCTAATGTTCTGCAGCACGACTGTGCCAAATTAAATTAAAAAAAAAAAGAAGAAGAAATCAAAACAAAGAAAACCAAAACAAAACCTTAAAGATCTTTTATTCCAGCAATCTTATTTCAAAGATAAAAATGAGGCCCAATGTCCTAAAAGCGTTGGCTTTTGTAGTGGTGTTTCTTCTTTTTTTTTATTTTCTAACACAATTTTATCATATATTAAATATTTAAATGTTTTGAACAAAATTAGGAAAGATATGAAGCTGATTTAGGAAACACAGGAAACCTAGATTCACAGGGTGTTTGGGGGAATATTAGCTACACTGAAGCTATGTACCCCCAAACTAGATGTTTATTACTATTACACTAGTGAATTCTGAGAGGGAAGGGACCTTGTACTTTTTAAAATATTCACTGTTCTCTGTGCCTTGTTGAATAAACTAATAAAACGTATAAACATACATGAATGGCTGGCGAATGGCTGCGTGTGTGTAACGTATGTGGCCATGTTTATTTTTAAGATTTTAATTCAGGAAGCCTGTGCAGTGGAGGCACAAAAGAGGTTTACCCAGTCCCTACCATTCAGGAGCTGAGTGCAGTAGGTGTGGGGACACACATAACACAGTAGAAAGGGATAAAGACCTTTTAAGAGTGGTGTGCTGTAAGCCGAGGGTCCTCTTGAGGAGGGAAAGTGGAGCTAGGGATGGGCAAATGTGCATGTCAGCAAGAGTCTTGCACCATCAAGAACATGGATTCTGAAACTTGGTTCATCTACTGATTTACCTTTTGACTTCAGGGAAAAAAAAATACAGCTTGTAATTTAATCTGCCAGATGTGTTTTCCATTCTGCAACTCCCGGGTTTGGAGGAGCCATTAGGTTCCCTTGGGCAGAGACCTCCGCTGAATTTCCAATTTGGTTTCTCGCCTCTGCACCCAAGGTTCTCTGGACCCCCTTGGCGCAGCAGGTCAGAGCAGGAAATAATTGAGGCCACTTTAAAGGAACCCCCAGGGACACACGCCCAGGGTGCTCCCCGGCCGCGGGGCAGGGGCGGGGCGCCGGAGACCCGGGCTTCCCACGCAGCCGGGGACGCCGTTGCGTCAGGGCTCCCGCAGCCAATCAGGGTGGATCCTGGCAGGACGCATTACTAGGGCGACGGCCGGGTACCTCCTCGCTTCGGGATGAATTAGCGGCGGGTTCTGTCCCGAGGTTTGACCCCTCAGGAATCTCCGGGCTGTCCACGTGCCCCCTGCGGCGTGGCACGGCATTCCCTGCCCGTCACAGGTGGGCGGCCTGAATTGCCGGGGGGGGGCGGATAGGATGCGGGTAAAATGGCGGCGACCCGGGGATCTCCGAGTTGCGGGAGGGGAAGGCGCAACCACGGCTCCTCCTCGCAAGCTGCGGGCCTCCCCCGGGCTGCGGCCCAGGTGATGGTCACTCCGCCGGGAATTGGGGTTCCAGCTTGCGGGGAGGTTTCACCCTCTCAGGTTTGAGGAGACGCGGGCGAGCGTTTCGCAGAAGGTGGTGGAGGCCTTGGCAGCCGAGGGGCCGCGCGAGTCAGGGCGGCGAGGGCGAGGTGGCCGTGGGGCGGGCAGGGTTGGGTGCCCTGTTGGTGCTCTGGACGGAGCGTGGGACCTTCCCGCCCAGACCTCGGGGATTCTGGGAGCTGCACTGTCCTGACCACACCCCGAGCATGCCCCTGTTAAAATCTCCTGAGCCAAAATGTCGCAAGTGGCAGCCACGTGCCAGACTTGAGCGGGAGCTGTCGAGGGCAGGGGCTGCAGCTGTTTTGCATAAAGAGGTGTGAGTCGTAGCTGCCAGCTTGGCAGTGCCGCGAAGGTAAAGGTAGGCTTTGCTAGAGGCTGATGCCAAAGCCTGATCTTTACGAGGCTTCTTCGCATTTAACTGCCTGTTTGAAGAGATAGAAAGATAAGGCTCTTACTTGTAGTTGTAGAGCCATTCTGCTTTGTGGTGGGTCCCTGGGTTTGGGGTGCGTTTCCTTGCAGCATTGCATCTGCCTTTGAAGTTCATACAGGCACTGAATTGCTTTATATGGGTAAGATTGGGGAGTGAATTTCAGTTTAAACTCAAAGTACTTAAGTATTGTTTAAAATATTGCTAAGATGAAACATTATTCATATTCCTCACTTATTTGGGCAAAGAAATGTGTCATGAAGTATAACTAGTTGGGTTTTAAAAACTGTTTTGATCAAAGTCCTTTATGAAAAATTGTATATTTTCGAGTTAGTGAAAGAAAATTGCTTTTTTTTTTTCCCAATTTTTATGTTGTACTTTGATGTGACAGATAGACAGATTAAGCATAATTTTTTTTAAGTGATTTTTCGTGTTTGGTGACAGGTTTGATTTTTGTGGAGTTCATTGTTCTGTAATTGAGGAAGCACGTAGCACTTTGTGTGAGTCAGGCACTGTGAAAGTGAGGCTGTTTCTACCTTTCAACTTGAGCAAATTGTGGGAATCATCTATCCCTACAGGTCTGAAAGCGGTTGCTGCTGACCACCAGAAGGAAATAATGGGGAAATCCCCAAAGACTCTTCCAAATGGATCTTTGGAGATTTGGTCAGTTTGTTTTGGGGTTGAAATTATGTGTGATTATGTTCAAACTATGCCTTGAAGTATTTTAGGGCAATTTTGTAACTACTCTGTTGGATGCCCTATCTCTGAAATGGAGATAGCATTTTTTGCCTAGATAATTTCATTGTGTTGTTGTGAAGGAGGAAAAAGAGAGTGTATGTAAAAGGATTTTTAAAAAAGTTAAAAAGTACAGTGATTAGGGTTGATATTTATTATTATGCACTTACTGGCCATGCACTGTGTCGAGGGCCTTATTACATGCTCTCAGCTAGCAGCATTATGAAGTTATCATCTTTGTTTTACAGACAAGAAAAGTGAGACACATTGAAATTCAGTAATTTTGTACCAAAGTGTATAACTACTATTGTCATTATGTTTAAGCTTATGTTTGTAAACTGTATGCCTGTTGTCTGTTTATATACAGATTTATGTGTTAAAGGGAAATATGTGAACAGATTTGTACTGTAATTGATTTCAAGGGAATCATTGTTTGTGATCTTTTAGTTGTTAAATAATAACTGATTCATTCTGTTGGCATCTAGTAGTGATCTGTGATGACTACAGTTACTTACTTTGCTTAAGTGGTATATTCATCCTACTTTTGATGTTATTAGTTTAAAAGGTAGTTTAAAACAAAGAGTTGTGACTATTTCTACCAGGAAACACATGTCAATAATTAATATTTGAATTTTGATGAAATTCTTTGAAAGAGCTAGACATGATGGCTTGCACTTATTATCCTGGCTACTCTGGAGGGTAAGGCAGGAGGATCACAGGTTCTAGGCCTGTCTGGGTAACTTGACAACAAAGTCTGAAAATAAAATAAAAAGGACTGGGGTTGTAACTAAATGGTAGAGCATTTGCCTAGCATGCATGAGGCCCTAGGTTCAATTCCTAGTACTGGAAAAAGAAAATTCTTTGAAAGAAAAACTTGCTGGGTACTTTTAAAAATTGTTTTAGGATGGTTCATTGTTAATTTTTCTAATCTTTATAGGAAAAAAAATCACAAATAAAAGTGACTTAGGGCCATTCATTCTTTCTTTGAACCTTTCTATCGTAATCTTGCCAAGACTTTGGGATTTAAAGATTAATTCCTGATCTTATTTTGAAGAGTTCAAGGAGAAACCGAAGTCCAGAAATTTGAAGACTAGTGAATGAGATGAACAAATAAATGATTAACTAATACATTGTGCTGAAAACTCAAATATAGCTGTGGTGGGTACACATAAAAGGGAACGGTTGTTTCTGCTGGGATGGACCTGGCCAAGAGAGGAAGGGAACTGACTGGAGGATACAGAAGAAAGGGCTCTGGTAGTTGGAGGAAGCAATGTGAAGCCAGCATGAATGAGAGGTCCTATGAGGGTCATATGACAGTGTTGTAGGTATTGCTGGGAGAGAAGCTAGGTTGGAATTCTCAGCTAAGAGAAACTTTAAGAGACTTTATCCTGTGGGCAGTAAGGACTGAAGAAGGATTTTATTAGATGAGTGCCATGATCAAAATTATATTCTTGAGAGGTGATTTATGACAGGATGAAAGACAGAATGTAAGAAAGAGACCAGTTAAGGCCAATTTCATACTCCAGATGAGTTGATGAGGGAGTGAACCAGGTCATCAGCTGTGGCAGAGCAGAGTTCAAATTCCATGTGTTTTGAAAGCAGAATATAAAATGGATTAGGTGGGAAGAGGCCCAGGGTGGAGGAGGCGGAACACCTGCTGGGTCAGTAGAGGCAAGAGTAAAGTAAGTTTGTTTTGTAACTATATGGTTGGAAATTGGAAATTTGTTTTTCATTAATTTAAGGAAAAGGATGCAGCAGGGCTTCTTCATGATTGGGTTCAAAGGGAAAGGAAGAATTATTTAAGGTATGTTTGGGGAAAAAAGCTGTAATAATGGGCTTTAGAATTTTAAAATTTACATTAGGTTCTTAATATTTGTACAGAAGTGATTTTAATATGGAAGTAATCACTGATGAATTCTCTAGTTTGTAAAGTGGATCACCCAACATTTATAATGATAGTTATCCAGCACCTAACAACATAATATGAATGCACTGCAAATCGACAGCAAGATGAAAACACAAGCCTTTCAAAGATGCAGTATTTCATGAATTGTGAGTATGGTGGAGAACTTCTCAAACCATAAGCGTAAATCAAGGAATAAGTGAGTAGAGTAGATAGACATTTGGACTCAGAAAGCAGTGACTGTAAAAATGAATGATAAATTTGTCTTGACATTTCATTAAAACTGATAACTTCCCTCCATCTAAAAATTTCTGTTAAGAGAATGAAGAACAAAATATAGACTGGAAGAAGAAATTTGCAATTCATATATCTGACCAAGGCCTTATACTCAGAATATGTATGTTTATTTATTGGTAAAATCAGTAAGAATAAGTATTTAATTAGAAAATGAAACTTGAAGGGTACTTTCTATATGGCCAGCATGCATATAAAAAGATACTCAACATTATTAGTCAACAGGGAAATATAAATTAAACAATAATAAGATATTCATATGCCTTCCAGATTAGCTAAAATTAAAAGATGGTCAGTGCTAATGTTGGCATGGATGTAGATTGACTGGATCACATAGATAGTGTTGGTTGGAGTGTAAAATGGTACAGTCACTTTGAAAATCTGTAGCTGTGTCCACTCTTACCCATAATCCAGTCATTCTATTTCTAGGTATATCCAGGAGAAATATATGCATGTGTTTAGAAAAAGTGCATGAAAGAATGTTCATATGTCTTTATTCATAATAACCCCAAATTGGATACAATCTGAATGCTCATCAGCAGAATGGATTAATAAATTGTGATATAAAAGGAATCATTAAAAAGCAATCAAAAGAGAATAAACTACAAAAACACACATCAACATGGTGAGATCTCATAGTCTAAGGCAGAAATAAGATTGCATAGTGCATGATTCCGTTAAATGAAGTTCAGAAACAACAACTACTTCCTGATGATGTAAGTCAGAATAATGGTTACTTCAGGGTAGTGGAGAATGACTGGGAAGGGGCAGGAGGAAATCTTCTAGGACGTTGGAAAATATTCTGTGTCTTGGAATAGGCATATGATTGTAAAAATTTTTTTTTTTAAAGAGAGAGAGCACTCGCGAGAGAGAGAGAAAGAGAGAGAGAGAATTTTATTAATTATTCTTTAGTTTTCGGCGGACACAGCATCTTTATTTGTATGTGGTGCTGAGGATCGAACCCAGGCCGCACGCATGCCAGGCGAGTGCGCTACCACTTGAGCCACATCCCAGCCCCAATTGTAAAAATTTAAGTTATACATTCTACTATTTGTGTACCTTACCATAAATACATTGTACTTTAATAGTAATAATCATAATAATCATAATAAAGAGACGTTAAGTAAGAATATGGCAGTGCTAGATGCTAGACTAGTTTACTTGATGAGGAAAACCAGCAGGGATAATGTTGAGAGATATGCTTTAAATTCTTTTAAAAGTAGTTTGAGAAGATCTAGGAGAGAAAATTATGAAATATAAATTTTTTTTGTTCTGAAATGACTTTTATATAATTGTCTTTCAAAAAGCAAATGTGAAATCAAAGCTGTCATATCATGCTGTTATATAGATTTGTTACAAAGTTATGCTCCAAGCCCTCCATCAATTTATCTATTCCTTGTCATAGGAACTAGTACATAATTGCAAGTATAACCTAAAT